ACCGACGCCATTTGGTGATTTTGGGGCATTAACTCCTCGAATTGAAGTTTCTTAAGGAACTAATTTGCCTAAAGTAAAATCCGACTCTAACTCCCAAACCAGGAACCCGATTCGAGCCCCGTCTTCTCCCACAAGTCTCTCGTGCCTAGGCGGTCGTGTGTGCCAAGTTTCGTGCTAAACTGACGCCGTTTGGTGATTTTGGGGCGTTAACACCTCGAATTCAAGTTTTTTAAGGAATTAGTTTGCCTAAAGTGAAATCCGACTCTAACTCCCAAACCGGGAACCCAATTCGAGCCCCGTCTTCTCCCACAAGTCTCTCGTGCTTAGGAGGTCGTGTGTGCCAAGTTTCATTCTAAATCCGGCTCTAACTAGTCTCGTCTTCTCCCACAAGTCTCTTAACTTAGAATGTAAAGAATGCAAAGATACATTTTAGCTTAGAATGCAAAGATACATTTTATACCTGATCTTCGGGTGGTGGTGTATATGGATTCTTGTCTTCTGTAGATTCCCTAAATGCCCGGTGGCCACTCGATGCATCAGGAACCTATGTTAGTCAATGCATAATGTGTTAATCATATTCAAATTTTATACAAAATCTTGAGTGACAATTGAACTATTAAACAATTTCATTTATATGGAACCTGTCTGTTGGGATCTACACTCGCCCCCTGTGACACAAGGGCCATCATCTCAGCTCTCATCTGCTGTAAATGTGTAGAGAACTCTGCTCGCAGCTCCTCCCTCAACTCAGCCCTTAGCTCTGCACGAACCTGCTGCGTGATCTGATTAATAGTCGATGGCTGGGGTGTTGACTGTGATGGCCCAGCACCATCTTTATACACCGCTCTCCGAGGCACAATTCTCCCGTATGTGCGACAATATCCATGTCCGTCATGGCCTATCAACTCATGGAAAATGGCATTCCTAGCCTCCAAAGTCCGACCATCCTCAGGTAGCATAGAGAGTTGATGATTAAACTCATCCTGTATTGAATAAGACATACAAGTATATGCCAAATTAAGATGGTTGACACACAAAAAATAAACTTCAAATACAATCAAAGGTGTTTGGAAACTACCAAGGTCTGGATAACCTCTGGGTCATCTACTCTACGTGTCATAAGCCAAACATTCATCTTATCAGTAGACTCCCCCTTACTGGTCATCTACATTTTTTTAGAAATATGAAAATTAGAATCCAAATAATTTACAAATATACAATGTTTATTTATATACAAAAATAAAACAATAAAATGTAATCCTCATGCTGTATCTGAGAGAAAGTAGTACGCCCTGTGGTATGAGCTATGCCGTGAGCTCGCCGATTTTTAGCGTTCCTACTTGCAATTTTCTATAACAGGTTCAACAAATGTAAGTATGTAAATATGATTTGTATGTTTACATGTCATAAATATAACTTATTTGTATACCTCAGCATCGGAAGTACGCCAATACTCCACAAGTTGTTCCCACTGGCTTGGCACAATGTGCATAGGAACATCATCCTTCAGATTAGGATCAGAACTTCTAGGCTTGAAATACTTAGCCTTAATCTTGTTCTTGTGATCCTTCCATATGCTGTTGCAGTTTTTCATGCAGATTGGCTTGTACTCCTCTGGACATATATTCAAATTGTCCTATAAAACACAATTTCAAAGTTTAAGGCTAACTATAACACAAATTTGGAAATCGAATTTGTAGAAAAAAATATACTTTTACCTTTACATCCTTCCAGATAGCATCAACAATATCATCAGGCACATTGTTCCAGTCAAGAAAAGTAAGAGGAACAATGTTACCATTCCGCACAATAATGCCAAGTTGAGTAGTTAACTTAGCTACGTTATCCCCTATTGGACAGTAATTTTCATCAAATTGTATGTCCAGCTTTTTACCAGTACCCCACTCTTCAATGCCCTTGGCACATCCTCTACCTCGCCTAATCCAGGTTGATGAAGAACTAACATGACCTGCGAGATACAACAACAATAAACAATATGCAATGGTAATAAACAAATGCAAACTTAAATAATGTGAATACAAATCATATCAAATAAACCTGAGGTGGGTTGTGAAGAAGTCGAAGGGTCTGCAAAATACAATGAGAATAAACAAGTTATATATAATGAGCATAAATAAATGTATGTGTAAATAATTTTCATACAAATCAAAGCAAATTTATATACCTGCAGATGGCTCATAAGCTGATGATGATAGCTGCTATGGTGCCACTGATGGTGGACGCACCGATGGTAGGCGTGGAGGCTGAGTATATGGTAGCTGCTGTGGTGCCACTGATGGTGGTCGATATGGTGGTAGCGATGACCCAAGTATCCTTCCGGAATGATACTTTATCCTTCCGGAATTTATGGCCAGTAGGTAAAAATCTGCGATGACCCAAGTATGATTGTTTCCTACTATGCTTCAACCAATACGATGTAGTTTCCTTATTGCAACAAGGACATGCATATTCGCCTTTAGTACTCCATCCTAACAAGTTTGCATATGCAGGAAAATCACTAATTGTCCACAGTAAAGCTGCATGCATTTGAAACATTTGATTTGTTGATGCATCAAA